TCCTAATCTAAACAAGATTTAATAATAAACCTATTACAACTAGAAAAGGAAATTAGAAAAGATAATTTAGAAAAGACAAACTATTAAATAAAGTGGAACTATTAGTTGTAGTTGTGATGTTCTACATCAATATGCTTATGTGCAAAAAGGTAATAAAAATTATACACAAGCATTTTGAACTTTGTCGAGAACCTAAACACGTAGAAAGCAGCTCAGCTACACTCAAAGGGTTGGCAGCCTAAATACTGGATCTTGGCTACATTTTAGTATGGAGCAGGAGGAACTATAAAAGTGGGAACTTGCAAATGCCCAAGTAGTACAATCAGGAAGGGAAGCCAGAAAACAATCTTTATTTAGAGGTTGCACGTGGGAGCAGACAAAAAGATGCTTAAACTGCATATCGTGCAAGTAATAAATGAATGCTTTCCTGAACAGCAATAATTTTTTTATTTCTAACCCATAAATATTACACAGCATAGAAAATAAAAATAAAACAGTAAGGAAAGATTAAATTTTTCTTTTTTAATTTTGCAAACACAAGACAAAACAAAGTTTGTTTCTGCGAACATTAGAAGAATAATGGTACAAACAGTACAACTATCTCAGGCACTAGTAGGCAAATGAAGAACAGAACTTAAAATAAAATAAAAGAACCGTCACAAACAGAGGTCAATGTGGATTGTTATTCAATGGTTCAAAAGGTTAGAGTTATGCCATGTATATCCTAGTGAAAGATGTGCTCTCATAGTACATTAACAATCACAATAATAGAAGACATGAAGAGATGTGTGGAAGTCAAAAGAAATGAGAAGGGATAAGCAAGAGCAACTAGACTGCAGGCAACCAACTTGTAGATATTGCATATTGCTATACAACTTGTACCAAAACACAAATCTAAATGTTCAGGTCCATTATTTTTTAGTTAAGCATTTGCATATTTCTATATTTACCATACCCCTCTCTTCAGGTCCATTAGAAATTAGAGGTACTTCAAAACTTTTAACAGTCAGTGAAACATGAGGTCAAGTCATTATTGTAGGACCCACTTAATCTCTGTAGATACATGATTGACATAAATCATTCCAGACTATATGGACTAGCAGCATTTACTTGCTAAGTTGTCCCTCATAAACACATGAATGGTAAACTTTTGGCTCATGTACTTGAACAAACATTCATTTTCAAAGGTAAGAACATACATCTCAAAGAGAGGAAAGGATCAGACCCATTATTTCCAATCACAATTTAGCATAGTGACTTTGATTAGATGATCTCAGAAATGCTTAATCGCAAAAAGAGGTTGCAGCCAGCTAATGGATACTGTATTAAGAGTATAAATAAGAGCGAAAAGATTGATTAAAAAGTTCAAATTGTCAATTAATTAGATAATAGACAAATTCTGAAGACCACCCTTCCATAAAAAGTTAACAGAATTGAATATATTCTCTCCCTAATTTTAAAAAGAAAATAAGGAAAAATATTAAATGATAAAGGTCTTAAGCAAATAAATCAGACGAGGGCTTCATTTTGACTGATAATTACCTGCCCAGGGGGGAATAGAAGGGGTGCTTCTGTACGCATAATTCTATCTACTTCCACCTTTGCAGATTCATGCAAATCCTATAGCAGAAGTTAGCAATTAGCACAATTAAAGAAAACACACGAGATACATTTGCATTCAAATCAAACATAAGAATTACAATAACAAACTCCACAAAATTCTAATGGCTAATAGACCCTTCATGGAAAGCTTATAATCAATACTTTAAAAATAAATGATTTAGTAACAATCTAGAAGCTATTTTTATTTTTGCAACCGCCATTCTCATTTTCTTGTTAGGCTGGTGGAATGGTCAATGTGCATGCTTCGATTTCTTCCACTTGCCGCTCCTCTCATATATCATAAATTACAAACTTCCACCCAAATTAACGGAGGTTTTAGGCTTTAATGTCAAACTGACATTCTTGAGTGAATTGCCTAATTAGTCACTGAACTTTCAGCCATGCACGCAAGGGATTACTGAACTTTCAAAATAATGAAACTAGTCACTGAACTTTACAATTCATCATCTCAGAAGTCACTGAGCGAATGGCCGTTGATAAATTGGACGGAATTTCCACGTGTCAGCTGACGTGGTGAGACAACTTAATGAATTTTGAAAGTTCAATGACCCCTTGCGTGCATGACTGAAAGTTCAGTGACTAAATAGGCAATTCACTCCCGCTTGGCCCCCATTGTTCCCAATTAAATTATAATTCATTTTTCTCTTTTTTTTATCAAACATACATTCTCTAATAAAATAAGATTACACGTAAATAAAAAAATCTTTCATTTTTAAAATGTATTTTGAATAAAATGAAGCCCAAACAGGGACTTGTATAAATACCCTTAATTTTGAGATCCTTTTGAAAAATCATTATAAACCGATAAGTACTTGATGCTACCGTTGAATTCACAACTGATAATCCAGTTCATGACCGGAGCCTAGAAATTCATTCAATGCAGACCCTATTTAATTGATGTCAAACTCTGAGTTTTTGGTCATGAATTTAAT